GTGCTGGGGGACTATGGCTCTGCGCCATGGCAGTTATGCCATGGAGCAGAGCCATAGTCCCCCAGCACCACCTTCTGGAAACGGTCATTGAGATAAGAGCGGAACCACTGCAGAGCAGTGCCTCCGACCCCCACTCCCACTAGCCTATCCAGAAGGATACCATGGTCGATGGTATCAAAAGCTGCTGAGAGGTCCAGAAGAACTAACAGGGACGCATTCCCCCTGTCCTTCTCCCTGCACAGGTCATCATACAGGGCGACCAAGGCAGATTCAGTACTGTACCTGGGTCTGAAGCCGGACTGAAATGGGTCCAGATAATCAGTTTCATCCAAGAGTGCTTGGAGTTGTCCGCCACCACCTGCTCCAACACCTTGCCCAAAAATGGGATGTTGGCCACTAGTCTATAATTAGTGGCCATCTCTGGATCCAGTGAAGCTTTCTTCAGGACCGGTCGGACTACCGCCTCCTTTAAAGAGGCAAGTACCTGACCCTCCCTCAGAGAAGCGTTAACCACTTCCAAGATCCAGATCCCAATCCCGTGCTTGGTGTTATTTATTAACCAAGACGGGCAAGGGTCCAATAGGCAAGTGGTGGGACATACTTGTCCAAGCACCTTGTCCACATCATCAGGCCACAATAACTGAAATTCATCCATTAATTTTGGACCAGGCGGCGGCATTGGTATCTCCCCAGAAACCTCTGAGTCACTAGTGGTGTCTAGCTCGTGACGAATCTGAGCGATTTTCTCCCTGAAATGCTTGGCAAAGTCATCACAGCGGGCCTTCGAGGGTGAAACCAGATCTTTCTTGGGGCCAGGATAAACCAGGCCTTGAACCACTTGAAAAAGCTCCCCCGGACGGCATTTTGAGGAGGCAATGGAGATGGAGAAGAATTTCTTTTTCGGCGCTCTCACCGCCACAGCACAGGCCCAATAATGGGCTCTTAAGTGTGTTCGGTCAGATTCATCCCGTGATTTCCTCCACCTATGCTCTAGCCATCTCCCAGCCTGCTTCATCGCCCGCAATTCAGGTGTATACCAAGGGGAAGAGCGGGCTCAGCCCAGCGGGAGAGGACGCTTAGGAGCAATTGTGTCAACAGCCCTGGTCATCTCCCTGTTCCACAGTTTGACCTGGGCCTCAACAGGAGCACCAGTCTTGTCAGCCGGAAACTCCCCCAGGGCCTTCAGGAATCCATCCAGCTCCGAGGGCGGACCCACACAAACCTCACCAGGAAGTGATCTGACCATGACAGATCAATGTGGACTTCGGTGCACTGCAACGGTTGTTGTGAGGATAAAATAGAGCTGTATAAGCCTCCTTGGGTTCCTCACAAGAGAAGGGGTGGGATATAAATGCTACCATATATGTGTGACAGTGATGTCAGATTATGCACATTTCATGGTCACTTCCTAGATCATCACTGTGGCCCAAATAATTTTGGATTAAATGGAAATCAATAAATTCAAGGAATGGTCATAGTAACACACAATTGAACACACACCAGAAAAATACCCTGCTCTATTTTATACCATAGAGCTAGGCTAGTTCCTTGCTTAGCATCTAAATACAATTGAATGTATGTCCAGTTTGCAATCCAGCAAGCTCTTTTTGTAGGTCATTTCATTATTTTCAGTGACATTATCCAGGTCCAGCAGCCTGTCCTGGGTTTATGCTCTGCTGCATGTGGTTCAGATTAGTAGAGCCCAGTGAGGGCCAACACTTAGACCTTCTTGCGCAGCAGCTGAAGGCCCACACCTTAGGATGGGTCCACTGGAAGAGCCCTTGGGGCTTGTCTCCCTCTTCATCACTGCGAGATTTTTGCTCACCTACCTCACATTCTGGGTCAAATGGTGAAAAGGAGAAGAAAAGAGACCCCTCCCAGCCTACTTGCTCACTGGTCATCTGTCTGTCAAGCCATGGTAGCCACGATGTGAAAGCAGATCAGCAGCAATAGTGGAGGCAAGAAGGTGGCCTCAGTACAGGAAGGAAGCCAGTTAGGAGATGAGCCTGGTTGTCTCTTGGCACATCCATGGAAAAAAACACGCATGGTGGAAACCATCTGGTATTGCTTGCTGTGACCACATTGCTGTGGCCAATGTGTAATTCCTGCTGATTGCCAATGGCAGCTACGTTGTCATCACTAGAAATCAGGCCTTCCAAGATTTGATCTTAGCTCAGTTCTAGTCACATCTAACAACTTCTAGCTCTAGGCATGCCTCATTCCAGTAGTGTGTGGATGATTTATATGATGCTGATGTGCACCCAGATATCAGCTGACATCCAAATCAGCTCAACAATTAGCTGAGATCCCTCGTGGGATTGATAACTCTCTAGCCATTTAAATCTTAACTTATCTCAGGAATACTAACTATTCTTTGTATAATGTATGGCAAATAAAATGAAGACAAATGTAGTATTTTGAATCTGAAAGGTTCTGCTTCCCATCAAGGCACACACAACACAACTAGTAGCTTTAAAAGAATTTTTTATTGGTCTAACATGCTTGACAGAAAATTACAACAACAATCCAGTTTTGCCAAAATGATTCTACACACTTTTTATACTTTTGCAACCTCAAAAACTCCTTAACGTTTCCTTTTAAAGGTAACAGTTGCTTTCATATCATTCTCACATAAAAATACACTATATTTTGAAGGGCATACCTCAGGAAGAAAAAATATTCTTCAAGGACTATATCTTGATTGACATAGAAATGTTTTTGAGGCAAAAAGGGGAAAGGCCTCTTTTTAATAATATGCAGCACCTCCTTTTTTAAAGTGTTTCTGAAGTGCTATGAGTAAATGTAAACATTTCAGACTACTTTATCTGTTTGAGAAAGCCAGTTTTCTTACTTATATCCTGGGATTATAAAACCGAAGAAAATCTAACTTCTAAAAATAGCCACATCAAGTCTGTCTCACAATGTAACACTTGTCCACATGATTGTACATGACTATGGGCAGAAAGGGTGGGTTGCAAGTGCAGAGAGCTAGAAGCCATTTCTGCAGTGGAGGATTCACTTTTTCTTCCAGCGGTGAATAGAGATAAAGAACTGCTTTCTTCCTACATCTACAGCCTGGAGTACATTAAACATTTCTGCACGCTGCCACGCATACCTGATCATGTGAAAAACAAATAAGATCCACAGTAATAGATACATTTACAGCATAGAGGATTATCATACAATGATGGGTCTTGTGTTTTAGTTCCTTTTTTCAGGAATGCCAACAAATACTTCAGTTGGTATTTTCATCCTGGAATTACCTGTTGCTGAACAGCATGGAGTAAGTCTATTTATCATTTTATGCAGCTTTCATGTTCAGTCCTGAACCCACATTCCTGGTGTTGTGTGTGGTAAAAGGCACAGGCACATAGTGTGGCTAAAATGCATATTGATGACTCCTGTGGACTGCTCCTCAGTTCCGAAATCAATGTGTGGATCAGGCGCATGCATATTGTTTGCCAGCTTTGGTGAGTGTGGATCTGGACTGAGAGATCTGTCTTGCATGTGCAAAGACTGTTTTGCACATCTGGAGAGCTTGATCTATAACTAACCTAAAATATCCATGCAGTACCCTTTATGGAAACAACAGCTGGCTAGATTTCTCTCTCTCTTCATTATCACATTAAAGTGAATTTCAGTGCTTGATTATCAAAGAGCTGTATCTTACATGATGAAAAGGTTTTTGTTTTTGCTAAGAACAAGGACAACAAAATGCCACAGCAGAGCCAACATATTCTACTATGTTCAATCAGCTATAAGTAGGTGTGGATTCCACACAATTCTAGTGCCATCTCCCATGAAGAATCAAAATACTGGGCTTGGTATTAGGATGAATAAGTGAGCCCCAAACTTCATTTTACCTGGACCCCTGAACATTGGCTTACCCATAAAATTACTTACTGCGCAATCCTTCTCATGTCTACTCAGAAGTAAGACTCAGTGAGTTCAGTGGGACTAACTTCCAAGTAAGTTGTAACAGGATTGCAACCTCAATGAAATTTTACAGCAGCAGTTCTGGGGGTGGGGGTGGGGGGAGAGGGTTTTAATTCCTGAGTTTACAACTAATCCTTAAATAACCTCTCTTCTGGATGTTTCTGCTGTTTACAGCACTTCAGTAATCTGCACCAAATCACTTTTCATTTTTGAATGTCAGATACAAAAAAGGACAATTTTTACATACATTGGTTTTAACACTGTGGAAGGCTGTAGATTTGAAAAGAATGCAGAGTAAGGAAATACTTCCTTTGACCTCTTAAATGCACAGGGATACTTTCCATAACCATCCAGAGAATGTGGAACAATTATAACGCCAACCCCTAACCCATGAGCATTCTGTAAAGCCAGTTTTCAATGAACAAATGCTATTATTTAACACACATGTAAAACTGTAAACATTCATAAAGAATCATTTTGCTGAAGAGTCACGTCCTTTCAGTATTCAGTATAACATGGAATATGTGAAATGCACCAGTGTATCCCTCTGGAGGCATTCCTAAAGTACTTCTAGAAAGCTGTGACACCAAATGCCTTTGCTATCTGTCCATTCTTGTCTCTCCAGTTTGTCCATGAAGCAAGAAGGAATACATTTTCATAATTTAATGTATGCGTAGTTACCACATTGGCTAGCAGCACAGGGATTGTTCATGTTGTGCGTAGGTTGCAAGCTTCATATTGTTGTCCTGCAATAATCATGTGTTCCTTGGAGTAGGCAAGTCGATAACTATAGGTGGATTCAGTGGCTGGTAATTCACAGTACACACAGAAGCATTCACATAGGTAGTAGTTCCATCAGCCATAACTCCATAACCTGGAAAAATAAATAAATAAATAGTTATGGGTCAGATTTTCTTCATTTTGCTTCAGATTAACTTTCATTGGAGAGTTTTTGAAAAACAGGGAATTTGCAAAGCACATTTCTTTAGCAAATAGCACAAATAATTTGGCTTCATATTTCAGCAAGGGAGCACTCCAGGCACCTTGGCAGGCTGGCTGCTGGGGATGAGTCATCTTCCAGTTTTCTAAAAGAGGTGGGGTGGGTGGCAACAAGCTACATAGTGACAGCATTCCACTACAGCCCATGGTAGGGTTTGGTAGTGTGCTGGCTTCTCTCAGTCATGGAGACCGGCACACAAAGAAGCTGGAGGTGTGTTTCAGCTGCCTGCTTCATTTGGGATGCTTGGCTTGAATACCACCTCCCCAGTGGGAAGGTTAGCTACGGCAGTGGCTACTGTCTAAGCAATTCTGTTGAAACTGGAGTCTACCCTCAACACACATTCTCTGGAAAAACTCATTAGCAACCAGCTCAGTTTGGATCAGGTGCCTAGACTGTAGACTACATGCCAGGTCCCAGGATACAGAAGCTGATAACCCACTGTAGCGGGTCTGTGTAAATAGTCCAAAGGATGCAGCAAGTTTCTGTCCTCTCTAACTGTACACTGGGCTCTAGTGGTCCATAAGAAGCTCAGTTCAAATGAAGACATTCTATGGTTAAACTCAAAATGGACCCATACTGAGAGAGCATCAAGTTTCAGTTTTCAACCTCCCCACTTCGGAAGTTGCCAACTATTCAAGTACTTTGGTGAACAGATAGAAGAAAGTGGGCCTTATTCCACCTAATGTTCACATGAGCGAGAGGCAGAGGCATTGTGCAATGGCTGCTCTTTAAAGAAGAGTCTGTCTGTCTTCCTCATCACCTCCTCTCAGTATGAACAATATGATATTCAGTGGCATAAGGACTTGAAAGTGTGTTTGTAAACTTGAAGGAGCTGGATGTGAAGGTCGTTTCTGCCTCTTTGTAGGCTCTGCTTCACATTGTTAGACCTCATATGCAGTTCTTTGAAAACAGTCCACTGCTCATAGGTGTTCTCACAAGCTTCAGGGCTCATGAGAGTACAAGTTACAAAGAAGAAATGCAGCATATTATGTCCTGCTTTGCTGATAGAGCAAGTTCATGGAAAGCATAAAAATGTATCAGCAGCAAATTCAGTGCATATTTGGTGCTTCATCAGGGTCAGCAGGTATTGAGGTTCAACATGAAGTTTCAGGATTTCAGCCTTCTCAAGGTGTACATGAGCTACAGATGAGGGATCAAAGTACTTTCCAAGCTGTTCATCCTGAAACTTCTCCCCAATTTTAACGTGTAGCATTATTTGCTCTTCCAGTATTCTTAGCTTTCATCATCCTCACCACCACCGCACTGCATTTCTATCCCGGTTTTCTTCCTCTTGTGAGGAGCCCAGGGTAGCTTGCAAAGCTCTCCATTCCTCAGAATAAAAGAATATGAATAGGAATTTTGAAAAAAGAAAAATAATTTTGGAAAAAATGGGAAAGATGCTGGTAAGTCTGGACTGAAGGGAATTTAGGAGGAAATACTTGATTGTTAAAGAAAAGAATTCTGACAGCCGCTTCTGAAGCTGCAGTCCTGAAGCTCCTGGGCTATGCTTCTGTGCCACAGGTGTCATGCTTCAGGTGAAACAAAGAAACAGAGCAAGTCAGAAGGGGTCTTCTGGGCCATCTAGTCTGACCCCCAGCTCCAGCCGGCTCCGCTCACGACATGCCACCATGTGCATGTCCTGCCTGTCTTTGAACACCCTCACCGATGGGGCTCAACCACCTCCTGTGGAAGCCCATTCCATACTCTCGGGTCCACACTATCAGGAAGGTGAAATGTGATATGGTATCCCTTAGGAAGGTGAGTCCTTTTGTCCAATACCCTATTTGTGACTGTATTTGTGTGTGTGGGGGAGACTATGCAAGATTTATATTAGGATGTCGGCCACTCTCAAGAATTTGGAATGAGACACACAGTTGAACCCTTGCTGAAGAAAAAGGAGCTGATCAGAAAAATGGAGATTCTGCTATAATTACCAACATCCAGTACAAAATACAGTTTCAGGTGGGACACCTTTGGCAGGGAAAATATTTTGGAGGCAAAAAAAGTCTGTTATTTATTTCTTCCTCCTAGATGTACATGTAATACAGTAAATGACGATTACAGCCATAGCTTTGGTCAAGGGAAGAGTTCATCTGCTCACAGAATACAGACACTCCATAAAGAGCTACTTGCAGTGCTAAGAAAGCCTCTCTATGATAATTTACCAGGGAATTCATTCTTGGGGAACTTGAACAATCGAAAGTAACATCTGGCTTGCAGTTTCCTATGTATTTCTCTAAATTATTGTCATTTGTAATGAAAGCATCCTGTCTCCTTTATTATGCAGTTTGCTTTGGCGAAGGGGCTCATGCAGCTCAATGAAGCCATGAGCTATGCCGTGCAGGGCCACCCAAGACGGACAAGTCATAGCAGAGAGCTCTGACAAAACGTGATCCACTGGAGAAGGAAATGGCAACCCACTCCAGTATCCTTGCCATGAAAACCCCATGGACAGTACCAAAAGGCAAAAAGATATGACACCGGAAGATGAGTCCCTCAGGTCGGAAGGTGTCCAATGCGCTGCTGGGGAAGAGCAGAGGGCTAGTACTAGAAGCGCCAGAAAGAATGAAGCGACTGGGTCAAAGCCGAAAGGACACTCAAGGATCTATCTGGTGGTGAAAGGAGAGTCCGATGCTGTAAAGATCTATACTCCATAGAAACCTGGAATGTAAGATCCATGAATCAAGGCAAGCTGGACGTGGTCAAACAAGAGATGACAAGACTAAACATTGACATCTTAGGAATCAGGGAACTAAAATAGACAGGAATGGGTGAATTTAATTCAGATGGCCATCAGGTTTACTACTGCGGGCAAGAATCGCTCCAAAGAAATGGAGCAGCCTTCATAGTCAATAAAAGGGTAGGAAAAGCAGTACTGGGATACAATCTCCAAAATGACAGAATGATCTCAGTTCAAATCCAAGGCAAACCATTCAACATCACAGTAGTTCAAGTCTATGCCCCAACCACTGGTGCTGAAGAGGCTGAAGTTGACTGGTTCTATGAAGACCTACAACACCTTCTAGAACTAACACCAAAAAATGATGTCCACATCATCATGGGGGATTGGAAAGCTAAAGTAGGAAGTCAAAAGATAACTGGAATAACAGGCAAGTTTGGGCTTGAAGTACAAAATGAAGCAGGGCACAGGCTGATAGAATTTTTTCAAGAGAATACGATGGTCATAGCAAACATTCTTTCCCAGCAACCCAAGAGATGACTCTACACATGGACATCTAATTCTGCTTCATTAACTATGCTAAAGCCTTTGATTGTGTGGATCACAACAAATTGTGACAAGTTCTTAAAGAGATGGGAGTTCCAGACCATCTTAATTGTGTCTTGAGAAAACTGTATGCGGGTCAAGAAGCAAGGGTGAGAACTGGACACGGAACCACTGATTGGTTCAAAATTGAGAAAGGAGTTCAGCAAGGCTGTATGCTGTCGCCCTGCCTATTTAACCTATATGCAGAGCACATCATGAGAAAGGCGAGGCTAGATGAATCACAAGTTGGAATTAAGGAGAAATATCAACAAGCTCAGATATGCAGATGATACCACTCTCATGGCGGAAAGTGAAGAGGAACTAAAGAGCCTCTTGATGCGGGTGAAGGAGGAGAGCGCAGAAGTTGGCTTGAAACTCAACATTAAGAAAACTAAGATCATGGCATCCGGTCCTCTCACTTCCTGGCAAATAGATGGGGAAGAAATGGAGGTAGTGACAGATTTTATTTTCCTGGGCTTCAAGATCACTGCAGATGGGGACTTCAGCCAAGAAATTAAAAGACACTTGCTCCTGGGGAGGAAAGCTTTGGCAAATCTAGACAGCATACAAAAAAGCAGAGATATCACCCTGCCAATAAAAGTGCGTATAGTCAAGGCCATAGCATGTTTTCCCAGTTTTCCCAGTTGTAATGTACGGCTGTGAAAGCTGGACCATAAGAAAGGCTGAGCGTCAAAGAATTGAGGTCTTTGAATTGTGGTGCTGGAGAAGACTCCTGCGAGTTCCTTGGACTGCAAGGCAATCAAACCAGTCAGTCCTAGAGGAGATCAACCCTGACTGCTCCTTAGAAGGCCAGATACTGAAGACGAAACTCAAATACTGTATTTTTCGCTCTATAGGACGCACTTCCCCCCCCTCAAAAGGGAAATGTCTGTGCGTCTTATAGAGCGAACGTGTGTGTGCCCGATGCCTGGGACGCTGCCGGCCCGCCCGCACCACGTGGCACCACCTGGCCGGCACGCGCTTGGTGCGCACTGCTCCACGCCCCCCTCCAGCTTTAACCTGCCGGCTGCACAGAGAGATGGACTGCTCACCCCCACCGCCCGGGAAGACCTACCGTGGAGGAGGAGGAGCCATGGGCTTTAACCCGCCGGCTGCACGGAGAGATGGACTGCTCACCCCCACCACCCGGGAAGACCTGCCGCAGAGGAGGCGGAGCCGCGGGCTTTAACCCACCAGTCGCACGGAGAGACGGACTGCTCACCCCCACCTCCCGGGAAGACCTGCCGCCACCGCTGCGCTGCCCGGAAGACCACCGCCGGCACGCTGCCGGCCTGGCTGCACCACACCTGGCCAGCACGTGCTCGGCACACCCTGCTCCGCCCCCCTCCTCCGGCGCAGGTGAGAGCTGTTAATCACAGGTCGGTGTGTGTTTTCAAATGACAACCCATCTTTTAATGAAGCCCATGGGGAAGTGATGGGGAATGTGCCTGTGATTATCAGGAAGCTTTCCATGGATCCCTCCTCTAAAAACTAGGTGCGTCTTATGGTCAGGTGCGTCTTATAGAGTGAAAAATATGGTACTTTGGCCACCTAATGAGAAGGAAGGACTCCCTGGAGAAGAGTCTAATGCTGGGAACAATAGATGGCA